GCACATGCCGACAACAGACAAAAGCTGTTAGTTTTCTAGATGTAATCGAATTGCTGATAAAACGGCAGTTTTTGCATCACTTATCATTCAACATGAAATGCCCTATTCGCGTGCATTTGTTATTCACAGTTAACTTCTCGAATTTGGCGGCTTGCTTCCACACTGCTTACGATGTTACCATAACAATCCATGTCCGGCATAAACTCGATGGAACAATCTCGGGAGTTATGAGCGAAGTGAACAATATATTCTTCAACCTTGTCCAAACACATGTTATATCTTAGGCGCAGGCAGACACTACTGAAATTTAACAGACGAGCCGGGTGAACACCACAGAGGCACAATGATACATCAAGAGGGGTTTGCGTATTTTATGAACGGATGATCGTACGAGACCGGGACATGCGTACATCAACACGGCAAGACTAGGTCGCAAAAGTTACCAATGACGTTAACCAACGTTGGTGAAATTTCATACAGGATTTTCCATTCACAAACTTCAAAATAGCAAGAAAAACAACATTTCAACAGAATAATCTGAATTCAGATATTTCGCGTCTTCTCATCAGCTGTGTACAGATAATCAGTGAAATCAGTATGTTGCACCCACAAAGGTAGGACAATGTGGGAAATCGTGTTGTTTAAATAAACCTAATCGATAACCTTACCAGGCCAAGATGAGAGTCGTAACAAACTCCGTCTGATTGCATAAGTTGAGTTTCAGCCGACGAATCGCTGAAGCCTCTGCAAATTGGAGCAGACGATCTGTGTTCCTGCGATCAAGGATCGTGAACGATTCCCGTGGGGCAATCGAGAATGTGTTGGGCGATATAGCTTACCATCAGGTCACGTGGGACATTTCCTGCAATCCTCCTGGACAGCCTCTTCTCAGTTCGGCTCACGTACTTGCTACCGCAAGTACAATGAAAGAGGTAGATACAGGAGGCGTTAACTGTACAATCTGGCTTGTCCAGGTAGAATTTACAGAACAACTTTTAACTTGATGGAGTAGGACCAGCTCGGCTGCATAATAGCATTTCTTAACGGACTAGCGAAGATGATATCGAAATCGCCTATTGTGATCCCCTTGGAACGGCAGCGTGATGAATACCTACTACTCAGGGACGTCTGCCTTACTTTGCTCGATTGTTTCTCATGTGAGTGACGCTTGCTGAACCTCTCGGGATACCCGTTCTCACATAGTGTTGCTGAGGCATGTTGCAGCTCATTGTCAACTGTTCCTTCGGAGCAAATCATGCGAAAGTAGCGCGTACGAGAGTTCGTTTGTAGTTGATGCGACAGGAGCTGTTAAAGTTGAGATACTGGCCCGTCCAAGTAAAATTACGGTACACTGATCGAGTGAGTGCACCAACAGCATTTCTTTTCAGATTCAAATCCAGAAAATGGAAAGTGTTCTCTGTTTCGTTTTCCCCTGTTTATCAAGCCCGTGGCTAAGTACCTTGCAGCCCCAGCTTTTCGTGTGTTTCGTTGCTCTATTGAATCTGGACGCCTTCCATTATCCTGGAGACTGGGCATTAGCATGCCCATAAATAAAGGAGGGAATCGCCAAAACCCAACAAACTATCGTCCCGTTTGCCTAACATCAGTAATGTGTAAAATTATGGAATGGATTCTCAAGAGAGCTCTCAGTCTTTATTTCGACGACCGGAGTGTGGTTGCTACTGCTCAGAATGATTTTCATAAGTCACGCGGGTGTGCCACCAATTTGCTAGTTGCCAGAGAGAAATGGGGACACTCACTGGATGCGGGCAAACTTATGGACGTTACCAACGTTATTTCAGCAAAGCGTTTGACAAACTTCCTCATGAGCGGCTTTTGTTCAAATTTCAAGCAATTGGTGTCTCTGGGAGGGTTCTGTCGTAGATCTCTGATTTTCTTTCACACCGAGTTATATTAGTTACAGTCAATCCCCGACCTTATGAGAGGTGCCGTCCCTCAGGGCTCTGTTCTTGGACCAGAGTTGTTCAAATTCTTTATTAACGACCTTCCTTCAACTCTCCGGACCGAATGTTTGATGCATGTTGACGAGTTGAAATTATGGATGGAAGTATCCAGCGCTGAGGATGCTGACCGACTCCAAAATACACTTGATCGGCTGCTCGATTACTCAATTAAATGGCAGTAGCCTATAAATCGCGATAAATGTTCTGTACTCCTCAGTGGTGCTACTGAACCATTCGGCGTTTAGCATCTTGGAGGTTATTTGCTTAATAATTTGAAAAAGGAAAGAGACGGGGTTATTGTTTGCTCTGATCTAAAAACCACCCAGGATACTTTGTGGAGACAGCAGGATTTGAAGCACAGTGCATTAAATTGAGGTTGTTGGTGTCGCAATCCAATCACACAACGTGTAATCCAAACTTGACCCTCCAATTAGTCATTTACCATTGTGACAAAAAGCGTTGCCCATCGTGACCCGGTAGCCAAAGGGGTAGTAGTGTTGGCTGCTATTCCAATGGTCCTGGGTTCAAATCCTGCTGTCTCCACCTGATGAGATGAAATTACATCGAAACGCGTCGTGGCTGTGCAGTGTTTTCGGGTGGGCAATACCCAATTTCCATCCACTTCCTTCAAGATTAGTACCGATTGTTCGACTCGGGGCCACTTCTGGATACTGTTTAAACCTAGGAGACTCAGGCTTCGCTCTGATATTACGCTATCGACTAGCGTGGTGAACGACTGGAACTGCTTGCCTGATTCCGTCATCAAGGCGCATACTAAGGAATGTTTAAATGATTGTTGGATTCATATTGTTAAGAGAGCAAGGACGAACAGCACTTATACGGGATATCCTGAATTCAGCATATTTCCTGTCTTCGCATTCAGCCGCTTACAGACAATTGAAAAAGCGGGTCAATAGAAAAAGCAATAAAACACGGAGAAAATCAAGGTCATTGCCTGCGTCGTACCAGGGCAAGGCAAGACTGGCCACAAGGTCTACCTGTTTGCAAAGGTTTGGTTTCCTTCGTCGGATGATCGAGTCTTCAGCGGAAAGAAGCAAGCTCGCGTTGTTTTGTCTGCTGATAACCTTGAATGCGTCGCGTGTGTTTTCGCATAAAGTACAATCGAGCAAATGCTGAGCGGTGGGGCTGGCAGGGAGTTTAGGTCCACTATTTGCCAGGTTCCGTGGAACATGTTCCATGATCCTAGTTGATAACCTTCTCTCGGTTCGGCCAATGTACATGCTGACGCAAGTACAGGTGAATTGGTAAACACCTGAGACGGTAACCTGAGAGTGAAGCCTATCCAAGTTGGATTCATGGGACAGCTTCTTGGTTTGATTTAACAACGTGAACTCAGCTGCATAGTAGCACCTTTTTATGGCTTGGCTTAATCGGTAGCACCATCTTCTATCGTTCTGTTTCCCTTTGTATGGTAGCGTGATGAAGACCTTTTCCTTTGGGACATCCATTCGTGTTTCTTTCTTTGCACCCTCATTCCCATACCTGGCGATGAATTTATTAGGATAGCCATTATTGCGTAGGTTAGATTAGCTATATTGTAATGTAACCTCGATTGACTCTTCAGAGCATATTCGGTGTGCTCCAACAAAACAAGTTCGAACTAGGGATTGTTTATAGTTCCTTGGACAGTAACCGTTGAAATGTATGTATTGTCCGGTCCAGCTCGGTTTCCGGTAAATCAAGCTTATGAGTGAACCATCTGCTCTTCTTTTAAGTGAAACGTCAAGCAAATGAAACGTGTCCTCTGATTCGCTTTCCATAGTGAACTTGATGTTAGGATGGCATTTGTTTAACGTTTCCAAAATGATTTTCGCTTGCTGGATGGTGTCAAGTGCAACAAAAGTATCGTCGATATACCTCGTATAAAAGTGTGTTGCTCCAAGGACATCGCGTAATAAGTTACTCTCCAAATGACCCATAAAGATGTCAGCTAGAATCGGTCCGAGAGGGCTACCCATCGCCACGTCTTCAATTTGACGATACATATCCCCATCAAAGCAAAATTAGACGTCTTTAGTACAAGTGCTGAGTAACGTC